CGCGGCGCGGCAGGCGTGGCAGGCGGGCCCCCTCGCCTCGTCCTGGGCTCCCCTCGCGAACACCGGCGCGGGCGTCCCCCGCGTCCTTAACGTGTCTCGCCGCGCGCGGGGTTGGCTACGGGACGCGGCGCCGGGGCTGACATGGTGCTTCTCCCTCACCCTGGCAGGAGCTGAGTGTGGAGTGCGGGCTGAACAACCGCATCCGGGCCATCGGGCAGATCTGCGAAGTGGCCAAAACCAAGAAGTTCGAAGAGGTGCGGCCTTGACGGCGGGGGGCGGCAAGCGGGTCCGGAGGAGCTGGTGGCAGGTCCCGACGCCGTCTGATGTAGACGGGGAAGCAGGAGTCGAGCGGGGTGGGAGCTGGTGGAGCGAGGGACAGCGAAGCGCTGGAGGGTGCCGCTGCCCTGCGGGGAGATGATCATCACGGAGTCACAGACCATTGGGGTGGGAGGGAGCTCGGGAGGTCACAGCGAGTGCAGCCCCCTGCGCCAAGCAGGACCAGCCCCAGCTACAGCATCCCAGCCAAGGCTTTGCCTACCTGGGTCTTCAACACCTCCAAGGATGGAGACTGCACCACCTCTCTGGGGAGCCTGGTCCAGTGCTTCACCACCCTCCTCATGAGACAGTTTTTCCTAATATCCAACCTCAACTTCCCTTGCTGCAGCTTGAGCCCATTGCTCCTTGTCCTGCCATCTGCCCCCACTGAGAACGGTCCAGCTCCGTCCTCTTTGCAGCCCCCCTGCAGGGAGGTGAAGGCTGCTATTCAATCCCTCTCGGTCTTCTCTTCTGCAGACTCAATCAGCCCGTTTCCCTCAGCCTCTCCCCACAAGTCAAGTCCCGCAGCCCTCCAGCGATTTTCATTGCTGTGTGCTGGACTCTCTCCAAGTTGTCCATATCCTTTCTGTAGTGCTTGCTTAGTTCTGGATCTGCTCTGCAAGTAAAAGTCACCACAAACTGATTTTTATGTATTTATATGTCTTACTGGGGTGCAGGCTCCCACGCGGATGCCCTTAGTCCAGACCAAGTGTCCCATTCTTATTTTGTTTTGGGGACGTTCATGCCCTCTCAGAGTTGCACTGAAATGCCAAGGGTGCGTGTGAAGCCAGCGTGCATCTTGGTGCAGGCTCGGGGTAGACCAGCCTCCAAAGCGTCTGGTGTTGCTCATCTATCTCCCTCTCCTTACAGGGGAGGTAGGGGTGAATGGCACCTTGACATTATTTTCCCTGTTGTAATATTTTCCCTGTTGTAACTTGCATGCTTTCTGCCTCCGTCTGCAGCACGCCGTGGAAGCCGTGTGGAAGGTGGTCGCTGATATGCTGCAGCCAGAGCGGCCCGCAGAAGCCAGGCACGCTGTGCTCCATCTGCTGAAGGCCATCGTTCAAGGACAGGTAAAGCTGCCTCCTTTTAGCGAGCGAGAGGAGCGCTGGCGACCTCCTGCCATTTGCTTGTTCTCGCAGTCCAGCACAGCGAACGGGAAGAGGCAGCCGCTCAGTGTGCTTGGGTCTTATTTTCACCTCCTGGCTCTGAGCTTTGCTTCTGTTCTGTTTTCATCTTGGATGGATGAAGAGAGACTCAGCAGGCTCTCCTACAGCCTAGGGGAAAAGGAGGGGGGTTTCGCACGTGCCGAATCTTCAGGCTGCTTCCTCTCTGCGGTGTAAAAGGCATGAGTTCAGCGGCTCTGTTTCTAACACTGTACCCTTCTCCTTTAAGGGCGAGCGACTAGGGATCCTTCGAGCACATTTCTTTAGGGTAATTAAGGATTATCCTTCTAACGAAGACCTGCACGAGCGGCTTGAAGTGTTCAAGGCCCTCACAGATAACGGAAGGTACATCACGTACCTGGAGGAGGAGTTGGGTGAGTTGCATTCATCAAGCACCTGAAATTTTAATGTTGGAAGAGCCTGTTGCAAGTAGCTCGATGAGGCTGGATTTGCCCCTTAAAAAAGCTACCTGCCTTTCAGCAGCGACTCGTAGGGGGTGCACGCGGGTGCATGCAGCTACCTCCAGTCAGCGCTTGCCAGCCCCCCACCGCCAACAGCGCCGGCAGTGTCTGCGGGAGCTCCCCTGCTTGCTGCCGGGGGCACGCGTCGTTCATGCCGCCTTTGATATGGGCTTATACGTGTAGTATTTTGCAGGGCTGTGGAAAGTTTGGGGGCATTCATTGTCCGAGGCTGTTGCTATGATTGATTTTTATAGAGAAGGTCCATGGCTGTTCTGCACGTGTGAGTTTGGAGAGCTGTCCTAATTTTAAATTAATGCCTGTTCATATTTTTGTTCGTTTGTGGGGAGTTTCCAGTTGCTGCCAAATTGTATACAACTGCTAAGAGGAGCGTAGCAGAGCACGGAGATGCTTGACCTGCCTTCGTTGCGGCATTTAGGAAGGAGTTTATTTAGATGTAAATGTATCAAGGAACAGGCATCCGGTCAGTGATAGGAGGGAGTTCACAGCAGCCCTGGATTAAAACCATGTAGTAATAACCCAACCTCTTTTTCCTCCAGCTGAGTTTGTGTTGCAGTGGATGGAAGTCGGTTTGTCTTCTGAGTTCCTCCTAGTCCTAGTGAACTTGGTGAAGTTCAACAGCTGCTACCTGGATGATTACGTCGCTGAGATGGTGCAGTAAGTTTCAGCTCCTGCCACCCCTTGCAGTGGTTGTGGATATGTTCAGTGAGCTCAATCTTCAGCAGTCCTCCAGATCCATAAACACTTGGGAAGCTGGGTGTCATAACCAAGCGCTTGCTGCGTGGGAGGCTGATATCCCAGCTCTTTTTTGCAAATGCTGTAATTGTTGGAGACTTGGCTCTGTATATATAGTCCTCTAAGTAATGTAAGTTTGTCTGTGGTCAGAAAAGGCACTAAAAATAGCTCGCTCCATAGATAGGGAGCTGTTGCCTTTCACAGCATACTCACTTGTCATCTCTCTCTCTTCTGGCAAATGTATTCTTTGGCTGCTCTTGGCTCTGAAGAGCCAGAGGGGAAGAAACAAGATTATTTTTCTGGCGTGTGTGCTGCCAGCCTGGTCATTAACTAGGTTCTGATTGTAGAGCCAAATTCTGCAGGTGATGATACCACCAATTGTGTTGAAGATGGGGCAGCAAGAACTCCACTTCCACAGATAGCCTTTACTCACAGTGATGCTTCAACCCTTCTTATCCTCTAGACTGCAAAAGCAAGGGTGCAGGGAAGAAGGGCAAATTACCTGGGTTTGGTGTAGAATCAGCTAATGCAAATGGAGAACCCCAGAAAGCCGTGTTTATCAAGAGTTTTAAGAGCAGAGCTTTGCTTTGTGGGCCACTCCCAACCACTTGGTTGTTGGCACTCGAGTGAAGCTGACCCTGAGACCTTGAATGTCAAGATCGTGTAGTATGCCCATTCTTATAACTCTGACCCATAAATCCAGGTTAAATTGCCTACTGCTGGCCCCAGTTTGTGTAGGTCAGGCTGTGGATTTGACTGTACTCTCCGTGTGCTATTCAGCTTAATACAGTACTGGTAGTCCCGTGTGTGTCACATGCAGTTGCAAACTTCCTGTTCAGAAAAGATCTGGTTATGCAAAGCATACTTCAGAAAGGACAGCAACAGGGGAAATATACACTCATTTAATTATGTTTCATTTTTACCTTATTTTTATTACTCTTTTACACACAAAATGTTTCATTTAGCCATGCTTTCCCTTCCAACAGCATGATCTGCCTATTGTGCCTTCGCACGTCGTCATCAGATGACATAGAGGTCAGTAATGGGAGCGTATTCTAATCTTTTTTGCGTTCTGTGGAACTGTATCCATTAGAGATGAGGCCAAGTGTCGTTACCAGTCTTTTATTCCAATATTGTCTTTGTAGAACGGAGATAATGCAGTCTTGGGAGAGTTAGTTATACGTGTAAAGCATCCTGGCAGTGTAAAGCACCATGTAGTCCTGAAGGGATGGATCATTTAGTCTCAGAACTGGGAGACCAAGAACAGCAGCATGATCTTAATAAGGGAAACCCTCACCTGTTCTCATAAGACTTGGCGCATCTTGCACTGGCTCCTGATCAGGGCTGCCTCGTATATCCCTGCTGACCTCTGGGGGACTTGCTGGGTGTAAATCAGGGCAGAGTTCAGCTGTCTGTGCCATGGAGCTCTATCAGGGGAGAAGTAAGTAACCGCTTTGTTTCACCGCCCCAAAGGTTTCCCTGCAGGTCCTGGATGCCGTGGTTTGCTATAACTGCCTGCCTTCGGAGAGCCTCCCTGTGTTCATCATCACCCTGTGCCGCACCATCAACGTCAAGGAGCTGTCAGAGCCGTGCTGGAAGGTCAGAGCCCTCTCTGGACTCTCCCTTGGAGTGAATGCTTGTAGGCTGTATGGTTTGGGCCCTTTAAAGTAAAACTGCTTTAGGTAGTGGGGTGTGCAAAGTCTCAAGACTCTGGTTACGCTCGTAGTAACTAGAATGGAAGGATGCACTGCTTTACTAATGGAAAGCACTGCCTTTAATAAACCAAACTTCGTGTGTAACCAGCCTCTACTGAGTCAACACGGGAGCTGTGTAATGAGCTGCTGAAAACCCTCTGCTATTTACTTTGTAGCTCATGCGCAATCTCTTGGGGACCCACTTGGGGCACAGTGCCATATACAACATGTGCCGGATCATGGAGGTCAGGTAAGGACTGTCCCGCCTTTTAGTATTGCTGGGGGAAAGGCTGCGTGGTATTGCTTCCTTGGAAGTAAATGGATGCAGGCCCAGCATTTTGCACGCTTCGGGACATTTAGAAACGTCAGAACTCCTGGGTTCTTTTCCAGCCGTGCCATTGACTGGCTTTGTGATTTCTGGGTATCTTGTTTAACCTCGCGGTAGCTACAATAGCATGATGAGAATAGTTCCAGGCTGGGTGGTTAGGCCTAGTGTTTTAATATGTTTCTAAAGGTGCCCATTTTAGAAATGCTGTGTACTGTTTGGTTTTCCCCTTACATGGCAATGCATGTCCCTCCTAAGATGGGGACACTCATGGTAAACCGTGAAGCTTTAACACTACCAAAGAAAATTTTGCCTTCCCTTCTGTCCCTGTCATAGAGCTTACATGGCAGATGCAGCCCTGCTGAGAGGAGCTGTGTTCTTCGTGGGGATGGCACTGTGGGGCGCGCACAGATTGCATTCTCTCAAGAATTCCCCAACGTCGGTGCTGCCTTCGTTTCTCAAGGTTGGTATTTGGCAGGGTCTTGCTTTCTTCGTATTGCAGCTGTGTCCAAAAGTTCCAGCCAGGGACCGGGATCCTCAGGTCTCTGTAGACCTAGGGCACAAGGAGAGTTTGTGCCCTGAAGACCTTCCCGTCTATATATAAAGACAAGAGGCAACAGATAGATGGAGCCCAGGGAAACTGCGACTGGAGGTAGTTCATGCTGAAGTCTTACCTTCCATTTGGAAATGTTTTAGTGAAGCATTTTATAAAGCTCTAACGTAGCTGATGCTTTAGACTGCTCAGGAAGACCCTGGTCCCAGGTACACCCCATCAATACCATACAAACACAGGGCAGGGGGCAGAGTTGACATGAAGCCTGTTTTATTAGTGCCATGTATTTTAAATTCAGTGTTAACTAGACACATGCCCTTGCTGAGGGATTCAGGCTGGTGTGCTTGCTGGCTGGCTTGTTCAGCACAATGGAAACTAGGATTTCGGAGAGAGCTTTTGCCTGACCAAAGGGTATTGGCCCTGAAGGATGTACAGTACCTGCCCCCTCTACCAGGGCATTTGCTAAGCTTTAGGCATGACATTAAACTGTGAGGGCTCTGCCAGATTCTGGGGCTCCTGTGTATTTGGGGAGGGCACAAGGCTGAGTGAATGTGCTGTGTTTTGAGGAAGGGGGCAGGTTGTTAATACCCAGCAAGCATATGCAATATTATGCTTGACCTTGCAAAGGCTGCCATCTCATGTATTTGTATTTCATTTCTTTTGTTTCATTTATTGTACCACCCTTCATCTTCAAGAGGAGGCTGGACAGATGTTTGGCTGGGGTGATATGACCCCGGCACCCATTCCTGCCCGGGGCAGGGGGTCGGACCTGATGATCTGTTTAGGTCCCTTCCGACCCTAGCACTGTGATACTGTGAACTCCTTCTTGAGCTGTTTGTCTTCAGTTTAGGAAGGCTACAGGTAGCTATTGTCACCTGGTTAACCTAAGGGACTTGTCTTCCAGGCCATGACTTGTTCCAATGCAGTTGTGTCTTATGAGATAGTCCTGTCCATAACCAGATTAATCAAGAAGTATGGGAAGGAGCTTCAGGCAGTCACCTGGGATATTCTTCTGGATATCATTGAGCGATTACTCCAGCAGCTCCAGGTAGGTAGTAAGCCAAGTCTTGCTACATCTTGGTTATAAGAGGTCTTGTAAGTGGTTATTAAATGGTCTTTATTTTTTAACGGAGTCCCTTGTGATTCAGTGGTAGAATCCTTGCCTACCACACAGGAGACCAGGGTTCAATTCCCAGACACTTCTACAACTACAGCCATGGAGGCACCAAACATCTGGACTCTGTCTGGTCTTTGGATTCTGTCTCAGTGGTCTAAAGGGAGGATGGCAGGTCTGGGCAGCCTCCACTCCTCCAAAAATTTCTGCTCAGGTGTATGCATCAAAGGTCTGGGTCACACCATGATCCAGGAGGATTGATGGTTGCCACCATTTTTTAACATTGTCGTGTACTTGCGTTTCTGGCTGGGATAGTGTGTCAGTCTGACGGTGTGTGTGTCATTCTTCCTGTATGTCTCGGGCATCCTGCAGTCAGTGCTGGCCTTGGAAGGGAGAAGGCAAAGGGACCGAGTGTGCCCAGTTTAACTTCTGATCCTATTACTTCTTAGCCTGTATTCTCTTTTATTTAAATCGTGACGTGTTGTAAGAAGATAGAAACTGTTCAGAGTGGCTTTTTCTGTGTTTCAGAGTCTGGAGAGTCCGGATCTGAAGTCCATTGTACATGACCTGTTGACAACAGTAGAAGAGCTGTGTGACCAGAATGACTTCCATGGGTCTGAGGAGAGGTTCTTTGAGCTGGTGGAGAGATGTGCTGATCAGAGACCAGTAAGAGCTTGTCTGCCTTTGCTGGGCAATGCAATCTGCTGTGCTTTTTTAGCTTTCATTACCTGTATTCCAATAGTGCCTGGGAGCCCCAGTCAGTATCTGGGTCCCTTCTTGGTAGGGAGTGTCTTGGTTTTGGTATCATGCTGGTCTCAAAGGAGCCCACAGTCTAGATAGACAAGATGGAGAGGACTGGTAGATTCTCATCTTGCTGGGACTTGTCTCACAGTATGTGTGATTTCACTCCAGGACACACAGGAGGTCTGTACTAAAGCTAGGAATTTAACCTGGACTTCCAGAGTCTGGTCTTATTTCCCTTGAGGCCACCCTTCCCCTGTCATACACACCTGAGATGAAAGAAAATCTTGTGCAGTCACAGGCAGGAATTCTGTTAGCTGCTGACCATAAAACTGCTATCTGAGGCCTTTTCTCGGTGGGAGGAGAAGGGGGAAAGGTGTGTACCCAGTTTGCTTAAGCACTGAAACGTTCTCGTTATTTCTTTGCAAGGAATCTTCTGTACTAAACTTAATAACCTACAGAGCTCAGTCCATTTACCCTGCCAAAGATGGCTGGATCCACAACCTGCAGCTGTTAATGGAGAGGTTCTTCAGGTAGGAGAGTGCGGCTTTAAAAAAGAAGATGGTCCCTTCAAATGTGTTCATGGCTGGCTTTACCATTGCCCCGTATGAAAGCAGCTCCAGTTCCTGAAGCACTGATGTTCTTCATGGCTGCTCACATACAGCGGTAATGTCGCCACAGAGGATTTGAGGGCATTTTGTGTAATCAGCCATGCAAAAGCTTCCAACAGAGGCTTCAGTTGTCCTACAACAAAACTGAGGGTCTCTGTTGAGTACTTCGCCTCTTGATAATTCAGTCCAGCCTGTCCTGCTTCTAGCTCACTCCTGCCTGGTGTCAGAACTGCAACCCTATCTCTTAAAGCTCACTAATGCAGCTGATTAGACTATATGAAGTAGCATGGGATGCCATAATGGCCATGCCCAAATGATGCTTCTGAATTATAAAATGATCCCAGCCTGTAGCAAAAAGAAAGAGCATCTGGCTCTTTTTTAATATCAGGATAAAGATTCACTCTTCCTTGTGCCTGTATTATATGGTTTAAATTTGTGGTCCAGAACATCTCTTCTGTTGACACATGTGGCTCCTGGCTGGCTCTTCAGTTTTGAAGTTGAAGATACGTTACAATGTGATCGCTTGTCTTGTTAAACAGCCTCCTGTTTTTTTCTTACCAATTCTGTCTTGGTTGGGTGCTTTGTACACAGGCTGTTCTCCAGAGATGTGTACAGTCTCTTTAATTGTAGTTACTTTAACTCGCAAAGAGTTTATTGTCATCTTTTTCACTTTCCCCACGCAAACTTCTCATCCACATTGAATGTGTTTTTCCCTTCTAGGAATGAGTCTCGCAGCGTGGTTCGTATTAAAGTTCTGGATGTCTTGTCTTTTGTCCTGAGCATTAACAGACAGTTCTATGAGGTTTGTATTTCTTGGTAATTGGCTCCAATGCTTGGATTTAAGATCTGGAGTGGGTGGTGGAAAGACCTCTCTTAAGCTAAGTTGGGGCAGGTTTTCAGGCTTAGTCACTTCTGTGCTGAAGAGGAAGCAGAATTGTATTGAACATCTTGGATGCTGCAAACAGTTCAGTGATGTGAATGTAGTGACTTCACTCAGCACTAAGTGCAGTCTAAGATGCTGGCTCCTGTGAGAGAGCGAGTCTGGGGAGCTGTACTTAGGTTGCTCGTGACCTTGCAGTGCACACCTCATATGCTGGTGGCAGGGAAGTGGGAGATGTGCTGCTCAGATTCCTCCGTTACCCATTAAAACATGCTGTTGCCTCTTGTTTCTTGCTTTGCTAAAACAACATGGCCTAGGAATCCCCTATGAACAGGGCCTGTTGCAGTCGACCTGCAAAGCCTTGGTCAGTTAATAGTGACTTATGCACTGTGTCCAAGTTTAACAATAGTCTAAAAGTTTGGGGAAATGGCTTGGAAAGACACTCAGGTGGACTGAGGGGAGAAGAAGAGTCAGGAGACCAAATAAATAGCAGGTGAAGAATACAGAGGTGGCAGAATAGCACACTTCTTTTGACTGTGAATGTGTTTAACTCGGGAATTAATGTCGTGCAGTAGAATGCTTCCCAGCTCACTGAGGTCTGTCCTATTGCAGGAGGAGCTAATCAACGCTGTAGTAATCTCTCAGCTGGCACACATTCCAGAGGATAAAGACCACAAAGTCCGAAAACTGGCCACCCAGCTGCTGGTGGACCTGGCCGAGGGCTGCAATACACATCACTTTAACAGCTTGCTTGACATCATAGAAAAGGTGAGGCCTCGCTTCCTTGGAAGTGATGCATATATGGTGGCTGTGGTATATGGTGGCTCTTACAAACCCCATGCTGGAGTTCGAGGAGGCTAAACAGTGAATGCGGTCCGTCATCTCCGTGGTCACGCAGGGAAGGAGAGGGTTTTTGGATTTAGACAGAAACCAGGGCTGCAGTGAAGAGCAGAAGAGGGCTTTATTAGCTCCCACCAGTTTATCGTTCTTAGCTTTCAGTAGGGACTGTTTGTCTGGACTCTTCCTGTTCTGCTGACTGGAATTGAGGGTAAGTGTTTGTTTGCATTTCTCCCGCCATGGCTGATGTGGCTTTTAAAGAGCTTCTCTTCTTTTAAAGGTGGCTGCACATTCTCTGTCGTCCCCGGCTGAGCTGGAGGGGAGAGACTTGCTGTCCTATTCTGCTTCTCTGGAGGATGTGAAGACGGCAGTTCTAGGCCTTCTCATCATTCTCCAGGTAAAGCCCTGTGAAGCTTCGGAAATGCCTTCTCCAGGGGTTTGCTTACATGATGGCTTGTCTGCTTCTTAATCTAATCAAAGAGGGGACAGCGTTCCAGCTCACATTTGGATGAGCTCACAGCCTGGCTTGTTGGTGCTGCATTGGGTATTACCTCTCTGTTCAGTGCCAGCATGTCATAACTGTGAGTGTTTAGGCAGCCTGTTGTAAACTGTAGATCAAGAGGAGCCAGAGCTGGATTCTCAGAATTCTTTGGCATCTCAGTCACAAACAAATCTGAGTCTCCAGTTTCAAACCCTTGGTTCAGGCTAAATTAAATAAAAAAATTGAGAGCAGCTTGAAAAGTTTTGGTCCTCTGCATAGTGAACATAAGAGCTGCCATTTCCTGGGTCTGACCATAAGTCCATTTGTCCAGTCTCCTGTGTTGCACTGTGGTAGAGAGTGGATGCTGAAAGGGAGAGTGAACTGGGTCTGATCAGGGTTTTTTCCACTGTTCCTCTCTCACTTGCAGCCTCCAGCGTTGAAGGTCAAAGTGACACTTCACCCAAAGCCCTGCTTTCACAAGGCTTTTGCTAAGATGGTGGAAATTTCACCGGAGCAGTGCCTGTGCTTTGGCCTTTCAGGATCCCAGTGCAGCAGTCTCAGCCCACCTCAGTTCCTAGACCCATTGGTTAGACGACACTTTTACTAAGTGAACTTTTCTTGCTCAGAAGCTTTCGTGAAATGTTTGAGCTGTCCTCCCTCCTTGAGTGTGCGGGTCGCTCGGTTTGGGGTTTTGCACATAATCTCCAGGACTCTCAGAGAAGCAGGCAGTAACACTTACTCCTTGGGGCCTTGTGGAGGACTAACTGTCCTGACTCACCTGCTCCTTGCTCCCTTCGCAGCTTATTTTCTCAGGAGCCTGCAGGAAGGAGGGGGCTTGTGCAGAACAGTCTGTTCTTTTTTGTGCCGGCTCCAAAGGCTGCTTGCACAGGGGTTCCTGAGCAGCTGCCAGTCGTCTATGACTAGATGTGCAGCTCTCCTGTTAAACCCACTGTTTTCTCTGTTCTGTCCTCCTGCAGACTAAGCTGTACAGCCTGCCTGCCAGCCACGCCACCCATGTGTACGAGATGCTGATCAGCCACATCCAGCTCCATTATAAATGCATGTACAGCCTTCCCGTTGCCAGCAGCATCCGACTGCAGGTATGACTTTCACCTAAGATTCAGGTGGAAGTGGGCAGTGGTGGCCGTTCAGTGGTAGTGGTGGGGAGGGGAGGAGCCGGTAGGATGCAGCATCTCTGTAGAAATACGAGCTGCCCTGGACAGTGGAACCAATTGCACTGGGCATAGGCTCGATTGCACTGCAGCCGGGAGTGGAAGGCCTCTGCAGACTTGAGTTCGTCTCCTCTCTGGCACCTGAGAACAGAATGCTATTCAGGCAGCTGGGACGTGGGGCCTCTCCGAGCACAACAAGGACACGTTCTCTCTTGCAGGTGTTTGACTTTCTGCTGATGCTCCAGGCCGACTCCCTCCACCGCCTGGGCCTTTCCAACAAGGATGGAGCCGTGAGGTTTAGCCCCTACTGCCTTTGTAACTTGGTGTACGTTTCCCAGTGCCTGGTGATACGTGAAACCTCCCGACATTCCCATGTGCTTCTATCAATCGGCCAGGGTCTTTCTCGCATTCTTCTGAATCTTCCAAATTCTGACAAACCTGTTGTCTTAGCTGCAGTTTGAGGGAAGGCTTTGACAGATCCATGTGCAGACCGGTCCTGCCTGCAGAACTCTGGACGTCAGGGTTTATTGTACCAAAGCCTCAGGGTTTATGCTGCCTTTTTCAAAATTTTACAAAATGTGTTGCTCCCCGTTTCCCGGCAGGAGATGAAGGTCTGGCTTCCCACCAGGGTTGGGTTTGAAAGCCTGTAGAAATCTACCTGCTTGTTAATTGTACTTCCTCATCTGACGTTTTCTCTGTAACTCCTTGCAGAAGTTGAAGCTGCTTTTGTAGAGATGCTGAAGCGAGCCCCTTTTTTCTTTTTTCTGTGCCATTCCTGCATTGTAGCTTACTAGCTGTTCTGGTTTTGGCTTAATTTGGATAAAGTCTTACCCGCTTTGTCTTCCCGCATTGTAGAGAGCCAGAGAAGAGGACCTCTGATAAAAAACCAGCTGGGACCCTCTCCCCTCCTTCAGGAAGTCCCAGTGTGTCATCGCAGAACGCCTCCATTCGTGTGGGCCATTTGCCGTATTCACTGCTCTTTGGAGTCCTCCTGCAGTGTTTGAAGCAAGTAGGTTATGCACTTGCTTTGCAATCCAGTTGTGTAACCAGTGTGAAATGGGAGTTGGCTGGGGTTTAAAACTCAGGGGCTCAGGGATGTGTGTCAAGGCTGGAATGTGCCGCAAGGTTCAGCTCTTTC